TGTGTATGGTTAATTTATCAACATAACATTGATCACATACGTGTGTATGGTTAATTTATCAACATAACATTGATCATATACATGTGGATGGTTAATTTATCAAAATATCATTGATCACATACGTGTGTATGGTTAGTATTAAAATATCATTGATCACATACATGTGTATGGTTAATGTATCAAAATACCATTGATCGCATACATGTGTATGGTTAATTTATCAAAATAATATTGATCACATACATGTGTATGGTCAATGTATCAAAATAATATTGATCACATACATGTGTATGGTTAATGTATCAACATAACATTGATCACATACGTGTGTATGGTTAATTTATCAACATAACATTGATCACATACGTGTGTATGGTTAATGTATCAAAATATCATTAATCACATACATGTGTATGGTTAGTATCAAAATATCATTGATTACATACATGTGTATGGTCAATGTATCAAAATAACATTAATCACATACATGTGTATGGTTAATGTACCAACATCACATTGATCACATACGTGTGTATGGTTAATGTATCAAAATATCATTGATCACTTACATGTGTATGGTTAATGTATCAACATAACATTGATCACATACATGTATATGGTTAATGTATCAACATGACATTGATCACATACGTGTGTATGGTTAATGTATCAAAATAACATTGATCTTATATATCTGAATGGTTAATTCATAAAAAAAGCATTGGTTACATACATGTGTATGGTCAATGCTTCAAAATAACATTAATCACATACATGTGTATGGTTAATGTACCAACATCACATTGATCACATACGTGTGTATGGTTAATGTATCAAAATATCATTGATCACATACGTGTGTATGCTTCGTATCAATATATCATTGATCACTTACATGTGTATGATCAATGTATCAACATAACATTAATCAAATACTTGTGTATGGTTTATGTATCAAAATAACATTGATCACATACGTGTGTATGGTTAATCTATCAAAATAACATTGATCACATACGTGTGTATGGTAAATGTATCAAAAAAGCATTGATCACACACAAGTGTATGGTAAATGTATCAACATAACATTGATCACCTAAATGCGTATGGTTAATGTATCAAAATATCATTGATCACATACATGTGTATGGTTAATGTAACAAAATAACATTGATCACATACAAGTGTATGGTTAATGTATCAACATAACATTGATCACATACAAGTGTGTGGTTAATGTATCAAAATATCATCGATCACATACGTGTGTATGGTTAATTTATCAAAATAACATTGATCACATACAAGTGTATGGTTAATGTATCAACATAACATTGATCGCATACGTGTGTATGGTTAATGTATCAAAATATCATTGATCACATTCATGTGTATGGTTAATGTATCAAAATAACATTAATCACATACATGTGTATGGTTAATGTAGCAACATCACATTGATCACATACGTGTGTATGGTTAATGTATCAATATATCATTGATCACATACATTTGTATGGTTAGTATCAAAATATCATTGATTACATACATGTGTATGGTAAATGTATCAAAATAACATTAATCACATACATGTGTATGGTTAACGTACCAACATCACATTGATCACATACGTGTGTATGGTTAATGTATCAATATATCATTGATCACATACATTTGTATGGTTAGTATCAAAATATCATTGATTACATACATGTGTATGGTCAATGTATCAAAATAACATTAATCACATACATGTGTATGGTTAACGTACCAACATCACATTGATCACATACGTGTGTATGGTTAATGTATCAAAATAACATTGATCACATTCATGTGTATGGTTAATTTATCAACATATCATTGATTACATGTATGTGTATGGTGAATGTATCAACATAACATTGATCGCATACGTGTGTATGGTTAATGTATCAAAATAACATTAATCACATACATGTGTATGGTTAATGTAGCAAAATAACATTGATCACATACATGTGTATGCTTAATGTATCAACATAACATTGATCACATAAATGTGTATGGTTAATGTATCAAGATATCATTGATCACATACATGTGTATGGTTAATTTATCAAAATAGCATTGATCGCATACGTGTGTATGGTTAATGTATCAACATAACATTGATCACATACGTGTGTATGGTTAATGTATCAAAATATCATTGATCACATACATGTGTATGGTTAATTTATCAAAATAGCATTGATCGCATACGTGTGTATGGTTAAAGTATCAAAAAAGCATTAATCACACACAAGTGTATGGTTAATGTATCAACATAACATTGATCACATACATGTGTATGGTTAATGTATCAAAATGTCATTGATCACATACATGTGTATGGTTAATGTAGCAAAATAACATTGATCACATACATGTGTATGGTTAGTATCAAAATATCATTGATTACATACATGTGTATGGTCAATGTATCAAAATAACATTAATCACATACATGTGTATGGTTAATGTATCAACATAGCATTGATCGCATACATGTGTATGCTTAATGTATCAACATCACATTGATCACATACATGTGTATGCTTAATGTATCAACATCACATTGATCACATACATGTGTATGGTTAATGTATCAACATAGCATTGATCACATACATGTGTATGGTTAATGTAGCAAAATAACATTGATCACATACATGTGTATGGTTAATTTATCAACATCACATTGATCACATACATGTGTATGGTTAATGTATCAACATAAACATACATGTGTATGGTTAATGTACCAACATCACATTGATCACATATGTGTGTGTGGTTAATTTATCAACATAACATTGATCACATTCTTGTGTATGCTTAATGTATCAAAATATCATTGATCACATACATGTGTATGGTTAATTTATTGGTTAATGTATCAACATGACATTGATCACATACGTGTGTATGGTTAATGTATCAACATAACATTGATAACGTACGTGTGTATGGTTAATGTATCAAAATATCATTGATCACATACATGTGTATGGTTAATTTATTGGTTAATGTATCAACATGACATTGATCACATACGTGTGTATGGTTAATGTATCAAAATATCATTGATCACTTACATGTGTATGGTTAATGTATCGACATAACATTGATCACATACATGTATATGGTTAATGTATCAACATGACATTGATCACATACGTGTGTATGGTTAATGTATCAAAATAGAATTGATCACATACATGTGTATGGTTAATGTATCAACATAACATTGATCACATAAATGTGTATGGTTTATTTATCAACATCACATTGATCACATACATGTGTATGGTTAATGTATAAACATAACATTGATCACATACGTGTGTATGGTTAATTTATCAACATCACATTGATCACATACGTGTGTATGGTTAATGTATCAACATAACATTGATCACATAAATGTGTATGGTTTATTTATCAACATCACATTGATCACATACATGTGTATGCTTAATGTATCAACATAACATTGATCACATACATGTTTATGGTTAATGTATCAAAATGTCATTGATCACATACATGTGTATCGTTAATGTAGCAAAATAACATTGATCACATACATGTGTATGGTTAATGTATCAACATAGCATTGATCGCATACATGTGTATGCTTAATGTATCAACATCACATTAATCACATACATGTGTATGCTTAATGTATCAACATCACATTGATCACATATGTGTGTATGGTTAATTTATCAACATAACATTGATCACATTCTTGTGTATGGTTAATGTATCAAAATATCATTGATCACTTACATGTGTATGGTTAATGTATCACCATAACATTGATCACATACATGTATATGGTTAATGTATCAACATGACATTGATCACATACGTGTGTATGGTTAATGTATCAACATAAC